AATATCAAAGAATATTTTTCTGTTGGTGAACAATATTTGATATATATATCAAAGTAGTTTAGAATCTAAATATGTTAATACACTCAATCTTAAGAATATCCCTTTAGTAATTAATAATTAATTAACTAAACTTTTTTTATTCTTTTATGAATAAAGTATAATTTAATTTTTTAAAGAAAAAAAAAAAGACTTTGTTCTTCTGTCTCTATTCTTCTCCCAAAATAAAATGTTTAATTGAAATATTTTCCTTTTAACTTATTAAGTCACCGTTGAGTATAATATATAGAATCTTAAAATCTTAAAGACCAAATGAAATTTAGGAGATTAACAAAAATATCTATGATTCTTTAGATAAGGATATTTTTAAGAAATCTCAACTACTATTTTTGATGAGAATTCTCATTTGTTTTTATTTTCTCATAATAAATAACTTTTATTCCTTTTATTTAAAAACTACGTCATCATTTACCTTTTATCTTTTACTTAAAAATAATTTTTCATTAAACCATTATTTTCCAAAATGAACTATCATCAAACTTTTTCATCTCATACTTAATTATTTGTATTTTAAATAAATTTAACCGGGCTAAGTAAGATATTCCGTGACGAATGTAATTAATTTTATTTAACGAGACAAAGTTTTGTTTTGTTTTATAAGTATAATATTTTGTATTTAAGTTTACATTATTTATGTTATTTAAATTAACAACTCTTTCAAAAAAATAATAATATAACCTTTACTTTGATTTTAAATATTTTTATTTGAATAAACACTCAACCTCATTTTTAAAATACTAATCTTTCTAAAGTTAAAAAAAGATATAAATAAGGAAATACAACACGCCTAGTATCGAAATTACGAAATATTTGATTTGATTATATTAAATTAATTTACCTAAACAAGAATTAGATTAAATTAAATGATACAGTAGATATTTTTGAGGGGTGGGGGAGGACTTACGAATAAAACAATATCTTGTAATTAATGGTAATGACCGTAACAGAGATATCTAACCTTAATTAATGAAGGAAGGTGTTTAGTATTTAATCTATTTTTTATTTTATTTTTTGTTTTTGACTTAAATCAGGTTGTCGCACCGCATCGTATGTCTGGTTTGTGGTTTGTGTGGGGAGTGTTGGTGTTCTCCGATTCTGTCTGGGATTTTGCTCTGTTTCTTCTGTCTCTGTGGCTGTGCTTTTTCTGAGTAAATTAAAAAAAGCAGCAGCAGCAGCGCAAGAAGAACGAGAAGCAAAATTCAGAAGAAAACGACTCTGAGAATGAAGAATGAAGAGTGAATGAAAACAGCACAGAGCTCTGCCTTTTGGACTGGGGCAGTTTAGTTATGTTAGCTCGAATCGAAAAAATCAATAAGCGTTGATACACCGCGGAATCTAATAGAATCACACTACCTACAGTATTTGTGGTTTTAGGTGACTTTCTCTCTTTATCACTATTCTTTTTCATTCATTCTTTTCTGCTATTCCTGTTGTTATTATTTGTTTTTCTGACTGAGTTTTTTTTTTTAGCAAAATCTATTATGGAGGATGGGAGTAGGGTTCCGGCAGGGGATGACCCCTCTTACTGGCTGGATGCGTGTGAAGACATATCATGTGATTTCATTGATTTTGATGTCTCATCCATAGTTTCAGAGCAGCCTGACAACCCTTCCAATCAGGACTTCTTCGGTGGCATTGATAAGATTTTGGACAGCATAAAAAACGGTGCTGGTCTCCCTCTGAATCATGGTGAACCTGCTTCCAACTCTAATGGCACAGCAGCAGGAGCAGGTGAAGTTTGGCTTCCCTCCAATGCCACTTTGGCGGATGGGGGAAATCGTCATCCTCATACTCCTGTTCCTGCTTCCGCTGATGCTGCTTTTGACCATTCTGCTACTGTTCGGAATAATGGGTCGAGTAAACTGTCTAATGGGAATGAAGGGGGAGTTTTGGTTAATTATTCTAAGGATAGGGGGGTTCTGAATGGTGGCCATGATGTTGATAGTGAAGAAAGGTGCAGCAAAAGGGCTCGGCTTGGTGGCTACAAGAATGAGAGGCCTCATTATGGCAGAGGTAATTATCAAGGCAAGGAGAGGGAGAGGTGTTTTAATAATAACAGAAAGAGGCCACGGGATAGGGATGAGGTCGACAGGAGGGACAGGGATGGTGGTGGAAGGAAAAGAGAACATTGTGGTGCTGTTGGCAGGAGGGATGTTAGAGATAGAGATTGGAGGGATAGAGAACCTAGGGGTTACTGGGAGAGGGATAAATCAGGTAACAATGACATGGTCTTTCGCCCAGGCGCTTGGGAACCTGAGCGGAACCGAGAAGAAAAAATGGTTAATGATGTGAAACAAGAGAGCAATGGAAAGCTTGATAAGAAATCTGAGGAGGCTAAGGAGAGGGTTCCTGAGGAAAAAGCTAGACAGTATCAATTAGATGTTCTTGACCAGGCAAAGAGGAAAAATACTATAGCTTTCCTTGAAACTGGAGCAGGGAAAACCTTAATTGCTGTTCTTCTTATTAAAAGTATACAAGAGAGTTTGCAGAAGCAAAATAAGAAAATGCTTGCAGTATTTTTAGTTCCAAAAGTTCCATTAGTTTACCAGGTAAAATAGTTTTTCACAATTTATTTATTATTAAATGCTTTTGGTTGGGGACATCAATGAGATTTTTGTAATGCTATGCAAGTGGTCTCCATTCACAATCGTAATTATTTGTATAAGTAATCCGCTGTAGTAATTTCAGTTCTTTGTCTAATTACAGCAAGCTGAAGTAATTCGTGAGCGAACTGGTTATCAAGTAGGCCACTATTGTGGAGAAATGGGACAGGATTTCTGGGATGCACGAAGGTGGCAGCGTGAATTTGATACCAAACATGTATGTTTTGAACTTTTTATTGAAGATATGCTGATCTGAGCTTGCTCTCACCTTATTTTTTGCTATTCTGTTTTCTTCCCCATCTTTGTTTGGCTACTGGTTCAGTGTTAAGGTTTAGTTGTTGACATAAAGTTATTCATTTATGCCCAATGCATATGTGTACTTCATATTAAAATTCTTGCTCGGATGCCAGTATTGTAGAACATGCAGCTTTTGTAGTTAATGATTGGCCATATCTAGCTGTATAAATTTTTGGTTCTTAGCCTGCAATAGCATATGATGGGAAAACATTGTTGTTAACTGGTGGTGCTATGACAGAATTGCGTAGCGAATTTTTGCCAACTTTTGAAGGGAGACCTGCTATTGTAGTGGCATAGCCACACTGGCGTGTTTCTACTGTGTAATTTTGGTCTTCCATCATGTTCCACTATCCACCATTGATAACACTGCTGGAAAATCGTACACATCTATTCAGGTTTAGAAAGTAGATGTTAGAACCTGTTTTTTTTTTTTTTAATTTATGAAGTTTAGCTGTGGAATTAAGTTTTAGTGTAATTAGTACACTAGCATCTATTAATATACCATTATCTATTAGTATTAACATATCAATGGAGGATAACACTGGGAAAATTGTACACATTTGTTTAGGTTAGGTAAATAGAAGTTAAAGCCTATGCTCTTAACTTTTAGGTAAGATTCAACTTTAGTTTAATTAGTATACTAGTATGTATCCTTACTGGCCTATTTTTGTTTTCATAAATCATTTATGCTTTGTAATTATAATTGGTGTTGCTCAATGAATGAACTTTTATATGTTGGGTTCATCTAAGATGGTATCACTGAAATGGAATGCTTTTTTAGTTTCCTTGGGGTATTAGATTTCAGAATGTGTGGGGATGGTGAGTACGCTTGTTGATGATTTTGCACTTCAGCTTTTATTTTTCTTTTTGTTCCAATGTTTATCTCAATACTCCAATGTTTAATCTGACAGATTTTTGTGGTATTTGTATTTGTTGGAGTTATGAAGAACTTGTAACTATATGACACCAAACAATCCCCTTGTTATTTGGTTTAGGCAGTTCAGGGTTTTACTAAAAATTGAAATGCATATTCATCTAATCTATGCATATATGTAGTAGTTTATGTGGATGATATAATCATCATAAGGGATGATCATACTGGGATTCAGCATTTGAAGGAGTATCCATTTTCTCACNTTGTTCTTCTGTCTCTATTCTTCTCCCAAAATAAAATGTTTAATTGAAATATTTTCCTTTTAACTTATTAAGTCACCGTTGAGTATAATATATAGAATCTTAAAATCTTAAAGACCAAATGAAATTTAGGAGATTAACAAAAATATCTATGATTCTTTAGATAAGGATATTTTTAAGAAATCTCAACTACTATTTTTGATGAGAATTCTCATTTGTTTTTATTTTCTCATAATAAATAACTTTTATTCCTTTTATTTAAAAACTACGTCATCATTTACCTTTTATCTTTTACTTAAAAATAATTTTTCATTAAACCATTATTTTCCAAAATGAACTATCATCAAACTTTTTCATCTCATACTTAATTATTTGTATTTTAAATAAATTTAACCGGGCTAAGTAAGATATTCCGTGACGAATGTAATTAATTTTATTTAACGAGACAAAGTTTTGTTTTGTTTTATAAGTATAATATTTTGTATTTAAGTTTACATTATTTATGTTATTTAAATTAACAACTCTTTCAAAAAAATAATAATATAACCTTTACTTTGATTTTAAATATTTTTATTTGAATAAACACTCAACCTCATTTTTAAAATACTAATCTTTCTAAAGTTAAAAAAAGATATAAATAAGGAAATACAACACGCCTAGTATCGAAATTACGAAATATTTGATTTGATTATATTAAATTAATTTACCTAAACAAGAATTAGATTAAATTAAATGATACAGTAGATATTTTTGAGGGGTGGGGGAGGACTTACGAATAAAACAATATCTTGTAATTAATGGTAATGACCGTAACAGAGATATCTAACCTTAATTAATGAAGGAAGGTGTTTAGTATTTAATCTATTTTTTATTTTATTTTTTGTTTTTGACTTAAATCAGGTTGTCGCACCGCATCGTATGTCTGGTTTGTGGTTTGTGTGGGGAGTGTTGGTGTTCTCCGATTCTGTCTGGGATTTTGCTCTGTTTCTTCTGTCTCTGTGGCTGTGCTTTTTCTGAGTAAATTAAAAAAAGCAGCAGCAGCAGCGCAAGAAGAACGAGAAGCAAAATTCAGAAGAAAACGACTCTGAGAATGAAGAATGAAGAGTGAATGAAAACAGCACAGAGCTCTGCCTTTTGGACTGGGGCAGTTTAGTTATGTTAGCTCGAATCGAAAAAATCAATAAGCGTTGATACACCGCGGAATCTAATAGAATCACACTACCTACAGTATTTGTGGTTTTAGGTGACTTTCTCTCTTTATCACTATTCTTTTTCATTCATTCTTTTCTGCTATTCCTGTTGTTATTATTTGTTTTTCTGACTGAGTTTTTTTTTTTTAGCAAAATCTATTATGGAGGATGGGAGTAGGGTTCCGGCAGGGGATGACCCCTCTTACTGGCTGGATGCGTGTGAAGACATATCATGTGATTTCATTGATTTTGATGTCTCATCCATAGTTTCAGAGCAGCCTGACAACCCTTCCAATCAGGACTTCTTCGGTGGCATTGATAAGATTTTGGACAGCATAAAAAACGGTGCTGGTCTCCCTCTGAATCATGGTGAACCTGCTTCCAACTCTAATGGCACAGCAGCAGGAGCAGGTGAAGTTTGGCTTCCCTCCAATGCCACTTTGGCGGATGGGGGAAATCGTCATCCTCATACTCCTGTTCCTGCTTCCGCTGATGCTGCTTTTGACCATTCTGCTACTGTTCGGAATAATGGGTCGAGTAAACTGTCTAATGGGAATGAAGGGGGAGTTTTGGTTAATTATTCTAAGGATAGGGGGGTTCTGAATGGTGGCCATGATGTTGATAGTGAAGAAAGGTGCAGCAAAAGGGCTCGGCTTGGTGGCTACAAGAATGAGAGGCCTCATTATGGCAGAGGTAATTATCAAGGCAAGGAGAGGGAGAGGTGTTTTAATAATAACAGAAAGAGGCCACGGGATAGGGATGAGGTCGACAGGAGGGACAGGGATGGTGGTGGAAGGAAAAGAGAACATTGTGGTGCTGTTGGCAGGAGGGATGTTAGAGATAGAGATTGGAGGGATAGAGAACCTAGGGGTTACTGGGAGAGGGATAAATCAGGTAACAATGACATGGTCTTTCGCCCAGGCGCTTGGGAACCTGAGCGTAATCGAGAAGAAAAAATGGTTAATGATGTGAAACAAGAGAGCAATGGAAAGCTTGATAAGAAATCTGAGGAGGCTAAGGAGAGGGTTCCTGAGGAAAAAGCTAGACAGTATCAATTAGATGTTCTTGACCAGGCAAAGAGGAAAAATACTATAGCTTTCCTTGAAACTGGAGCAGGGAAAACCTTAATTGCTGTTCTTCTTATTAAAAGTATACAAGAGAGTTTGCAGAAGCAAAATAAGAAAATGCTTGCAGTATTTTTAGTTCCAAAAGTTCCATTAGTTTACCAGGTAAAATAGTTTTTCACAATTTATTTATTATTAAATGCTTTTGGTTGGGGACATCAATGAGATTTTTGTAATGCTATGCAAGTGGTCTCCATTCACAATCGTAATTATTTGTATAAGTAATCCGCTGTAGTAATTTCAGTTCTTTGTCTAATTACNTTGTAACTATATGACACCAAACAATCCCCTTGTTATTTGGTTTAGGCAGTTCAGGGTTTTACTAAAAATTGAAATGCATATTCATCTAATCTATGCATATATGTAGTAGTTTATGTGGATGATATAATCATCATAAGGGATGATCATACTGGGATTCAGCATTTGAAGGAGTATCCATTTTCTCACTTTGAAATGAAAGACTTGGGTCAATTAAGATACTTACAGGAATTAAGGTTGCTTAGTAAAATTGTGGAATTTCCATCTGCTAAGCAAATATTGGTGAATGGTACAAAAGCTGAATTATTTCATGTAATCTGACCAGATATTTTTTTGCTGATGGTTTGGTGAGCCAGTTCTTTAGTCCACTTCGTAGTGACTATTGGATGTAGTTGCTTGAGTTTTGAGGTTTATAAAATGATACTTAGGAAAGATTTGTGTATGGGAATTGGGACCATAGGGATATTGTTACTTATATAAATGCACACCGGGTTTTGTCTCCTTGTCACAAAAGGTATCCCTCAACATAATGTTTTCATTTTTGGGAAATCTCATTTCATGGAAAAACAAGGACTAAAAGGTGGTTTTCAAATTCAACTGCTAAAGCAGAATACCAAACTAAGACCTGATATTGAAAACATCAACTTTTTACAATGTGGCAGTTCTTCACGTTGCATCTGACCCAATCTTCCCTGAGTGAGCCAAACATATAGAAATTGCTGCTACGTAATTCATGAGAAGATTGCTCTTGGAGAAATTAACACATCCTTTGTTAGCTTAAAGGATCAATTATTTGATTTATTCGCCAAACCTCTTTGGAGACCAAAAACTTTTCTATCTGCAGGAACCTAAATGTTTATTATATCTACACTCCAGCTGAAGGACATGTTAGAAACTATATATAACTTATCACTAATCCTGTTTTGCAATTACCTTTGGTTCTCTGTGCCTTGGAAAATTGAGATATTTTAATTATCCTTTTTTAAATTGTACTATATTAACTATCTCTGTATATATCATTTTCCTGTGTATTTAGCTCTCAAGAATATTCACTCAAAATGAATCTTATATTTTTTTTTATCAATTGTATTGCATTATCTACGTTTTATGTTGATATTCTGGTGCCAACATTTGACTTTTTCAACGTTTGCAAGATATAATGTATTCTAAAAACTAGCAATTGTAATTATTTGCACGTTTGTTGAAGCTCTTGTAATTTCTTTGTATTGTTTTTAAATATTAGAAAGCAGTGGATGGACTAATAGCTAGTAAATCAGACTTAAAAGACATGACTATGTGATTTGAAAGTTGATTGGTATATGTTTCTGCAACTTTTATTCTCAAAATTTAATAAAAGTGGTTGGCAGATTGTTTTTCTATAAGATTCTCAAGTTTCCCCTCTCGCCCTGTTTATATTTCCACTATTCTTCCTTGGCCAGCTGTGTGTTTATACTACAAGTACTCATGTTGGCTTTTCTTTCTGTAGGTATTAGTCATGACCGCTCAAATTCTTTTGAACATTTTGAGGCATAGTATAATAAAAATGGAAGCAATCAATCTCTTGATTCTGGATGAGTGCCACCATGCTGTGAAGAAACACCCATATTCACTGGTGATGTCTGAGTTCTACCATACAACTCCCAAAGAGAAGAGACCATCTGTATTTGGAATGACTGCTTCTCCTGTTAACTTGAAGGGTAGTTATTCAATTTCTCAGATGAGCTTAGGATCCGGTGCTTTGTTACTTAGTTTTTAAAGCTATATTTTGTTTTGAAATTATGGGATTTTAGGTATAAGAGGGACAAAGAGAATACAAGAGAATAAAACACTAATTTTAGATTAACTGAGATGTATAATGTATTGCAGTGTATTCTTGCGTTTGATGGGTTCTTAAAACTAACAATTCTAAGCCTTAAACCTAACTAATTAAGGAAACAAATCATGATATGATAAGGATCTTTTGTAATAATCTTAAGAGATAAAGAGGAAATAGGGGAACGAAACTTATAGGATAATCTAGATTTGACTATCTTTTGTAAACATTTTACTTAGGGTTTGAAACTCTTGTCCAACAACTTAGTATTCTTTTATTATTTGCATTGTTCATTCTGAGTTGTGTTCAAGTTAGAATTGTTCATGCTTGTGACATATTCAGGTGTCTCCAGCCAAGTAGATTGTGCAATTAAAATTCGCAATCTTGAGAGTAAGTTAGATTCTATAGTTTGCACCATTAAAGATCGTAAGGAGCTGGAGAAACATGTGCCAATGCCCTCTGAAGTTGTGGTCGAGTATGACAAAGCTGCCAGTTTATGTTATCTACATGAGCAGATAAAGCAGATGGAGGTTGAAGTTGAAGAAGCTGCAAAATCTAGTTCAAGAAGAAGCAAATGGCAGTTTATGGGAGCTAGAGATGCTGGAGCTAAGGAAGAGCTGCGCCAAGTATATGGTGTTTCTGAAAGAACTGAAAGCGATGGAGCTGCAAACCTAATTCAGAAGTTGAGAGCTGTTAATTATGCTCTTGGTGAACTGGGACAATGGTGTGCATTCAAGGTACATACCCTTTCTTGGAGAATGAGGAATCTTGAGTTTCTTGTCCATCTTTATAAAGTGTCTTTCTTTTTACAGGTTGCACAATCCTTTTTAGCAGCTTTGCAAAATGATGAAAGGGCCAACTACCAACTTGATGTCAAGTTTCAGGAATCTTATCTGAGTAAAGTTGTTTCTCTACTGAAATGCCAACTGTCAGAGGGAGCAGTTTCTGACAAAAATACTGATATTGATGACTTGGAGAATGGTGCTGCTCAAAGTGTTTCTGAGCATGAAGAGATGGAAGAAGGGGAACTTCCAGACAGTCATGGTGAGCTGGGTTATTGAATCGAAACTTTGTAATGGCTCAAATTTCATCTGCTTAAATTTGTAATTGTCCAGATAAGCTAAATTTGTTATTCTTTAATTTGGCAACATCTTAGAGTATATACGAAATTTGGAGTATATTTCACATGTGAAAGAGCATTCATAATTCACTACATATCTAACTTATTCATTGTTTTGTAATGATATTTAAATTAAATATTAAAATACCAATGTCTGAGATGAAATGTAGTTTGATATTTTATTTAAGCTGACACATTTTTGTTTAGTTGTCTCTGGTGGAGAGCATGTGGATGTCATTATAGGAGCTGCTGTGGCTGATGGCAAGGTGACCCCCAAGGTGCATGCACTAATAAAAATACTTCTCAAGTATCAGCATACAGAAGACTTCCGTGCAATCATCTTTGTTGAGCGTGTTGTTTCTGCATTAGTTCTGCCAAAGGTTGATAGACACACATTACTTCTATAGTTTCTTTTAGTTGATTAAGTTGCATAACCAATATCCTGTTGGTTCATTGTGTGCCAATACTGGCAGGTCTTTGCGGAGCTTCCATCTCTTAGTTTTGTTAAGTGTGCAAGCTTGATTGGTCACAATAACAGTCAGGAAATGCGAACCCACCAAATGCAAGATACAATTTCCAAATTCCGTGATGGGCGGGTAATATTTTTTTGGCATGGCTCAGCTATCAATTTCACATGGGTAGAAGTAATATTTTCTATTCTCTCAATCTGACTAATGTCCTCATTTGTAGGTCACATTGTTGGTTGCCACTAGTGTTGCTGAAGAAGGACTTGATATTCGGCAATGCAATGTTGTTATTCGCTTTGACCTTGCAAAAACTGTTTTGGCATACATTCAATCCAGGGGGCGTGCTAGAAAACCTGGATCTGATTACATCCTGATGGTGGAGAGGTACTGGTTGTGACAGTTTTAGCTGTTGTCATTTTACTCTTTCTTTTGTTTTTCAAGTATATTTTTCTAGAGATTTAGTAAGACCAAGAGAAAAGGAATCTCTTTTGTTTGTCCTCTGGTTATGGCCTGCTTTGATGACAGTAGTTATGTTATTATTAATTGAGGTGATGGAAGGATCTCATTCTGCATTTAGCAATGCAACTAAGAAATTTTTTATTATTTCTTGGGTTATTTTCTTTTTTTGTTCCTCCTCCACCCATTGAATTTAAATAAATCCCCATTTTAGTCCGTGAAATCACAAAATCCATATTTAATCATTGACATTGTGGAATGATATTGGTAATTTTTTATGCAAAATGACAACAATGATGTAGAGAAAGGACTAAAGTTAGGACTTTTTTCAAATTCCAGGACCAAGTGAAGATTATATCGAAGTTAGGGACTATAGCGTAAGTCACTAACAATTTTAGGGATTAGAATGATGTTTACTCATTGATTTTCTTCTCTTTCTTGGTCAATTTAGTTCTTTTTTCTGGTTCAGGCAGATTCCTTGTCCTTCTTTCTCTGTGATTTATGCCATGTCTCAAAGTTATTCTTTTATCATTAATTATTTTTTAACTGTTTAATAAATTATTTTGCTTGTCATAAATATCTTTCATTACATGGGAAGTTTAAATTGGGTTTTCAGAAGTGGAAGGTAGACTAAAGTTGAGGCAAAGTGGCCTTAGTTGGATTTGAGCATGGGATCAAATAGTCTCTTTAGAATCATTTTGCCACATGTGTCGAGGCTCTTGTGATAATAGGCTTTTCTATACGACATGAACTTGTTCTTTATTTAGTGTCAGAATAATTTATTTGAAAATTTTGTTTTAGATTTTTCAACCAATAGTAAATTATTCTTTGTGGAAGATTCTGCTTTTCCTTATCTGATTGTCATACTGAAAATTTGTCATTTTGTTGGTTATGGCATTCACCGGCATAATGTTCATAATTTTACCAGACATGCATGGTGTTTTATATTTTGTGGGTGGATGCTAAGTCATTGAACTCTTTCCCTCTCCACTACTTGTGTTGTCTTGTACATAGGGGCAATTTGTCACATGAAGCATTCCTAAGGAATGCCAGGAACAGTGAGGAGACTTTGCGTAAAGAAGCAATAGAGAGAACAGACCTTAGTCATCTGAAGGACACTTCAAGATTGATTTCTGTTGAAACTAGGCCTGGAACAGTTTACCAGGTGAAGTCAACTGGTGCAGTTGTGAGTCTTAATTCTGCTGTAGGTCTTATCCACTTCTACTGCTCTCAGCTACCTAGTGACAGGTGCTACATTTTGGCTTGAGATTGGTAGTTTTCTTTACCGGCCTTTTATTAAGCTTCAAATTATGACTTGGATGTTTTCTATCCCTTGTCCAGATATTCAATTCTTCGTCCTGAGTTTATTATGGAGAGGCATGAGAAAACAGGAGGTCCCACAGAATATTCTTGCAAGCTTCAACTGCCTTGTAATGCACCATTTGAAAATCTCGAGGGCCCAATATGCAGTTCTATGCGTCTAGCACAACAGGCATGCGATATTTTATGATGAATTTGATTGATTCTGCTTGTTGGTTGTATGTTAGTTAGTGTTGTATACAATAGTATGATAGTCTTTGTTTGTTGACTGTCACTTAAGAGCTGAGTCAGCACAGGAGTCTTTGCCTGCTAAGCACTCTTCTTAGAGTATTATAAATGTGCACTCTACTGAATATTTCAGTAATAATAAAATATATCTTCTCATGATTTCTTTATGAATATTAAATTGTAATATTGCTCAGCTTTATCATGAACCATTTGTTAATCTGGTGTTACGTAGGCTGTTTGTCTGGCTGCTTGCAAGAAATTGCATGAGATGGGAGCATTCACTGACATGCTATTGCCTGATAAAGGAAGTGGGGGAGAAAGAGAAAAGGATGAGCAAACTGATGAAGGAGATCCACTTCCAGGGACTGCTAGACATAGGGAGTTCTATCCTGAAGGTGTGGCTGACATACTGAAGGTTGGTTCTTTCTGCAAGTTATGCAGTCTAAGCAATCTTTTTGTAGAGTTTTGTATAGTTGAGCAGTACACATTTATCATTATTCATTTTTGAAGAAATTCTTAGAAAGTGCACTTTAAATCTAATTCAACCTTACACAGTCAATTCATATGGTGAGATTTTCATTCACTTATATGCTCTAATTTGGCCATGTCTCTAGTTGACGTATGATTTCCAACACAACTCCTCACACCGAGGATTGAACATCTCAAATATAGGACTAAATACTTGTAGGTGGTTTAGTAGCAAGTTATATGGTAAACCCAATAAATCTCGTTAGGATAGACTTTGATATCATCTTAGAAAGTGAACTTNTGAAGTCAACTGGTGCAGTTGTGAGTCTTAATTCTGCTGTAGGTCTTATCCACTTCTACTGCTCTCAGCTACCTAGTGACAGGTGCTACATTTTGGCTTGAGATTGGTAGTTTTCTTTACCGGCCTTTTATTAAGCTTCAAATTATGACTTGGATGTTTTCTATCCCTTGTCCAGATATTCAATTCTTCGTCCTGAGTTTATTATGGAGAGGCATGAGAAAACAGGAGGTCCCACAGAATATTCTTGCAAGCTTCAACTGCCTTGTAATGCACCATTTGAAAATCTCGAGGGCCCAATATGCAGTTCTATGCGTCTAGCACAACAGGCATGCGATATTTTATGATGAATTTGATTGATTCTGCTTGTTGGTTGTATGTTAGTTAGTGTTGTATACAATAGTATGATAGTCTTTGTTTGTTGACTGTCACTTAAGAGCTGAGTCAGCACAGGAGTCTTTGCCTGCTAAGCACTCTTCTTAGAGTATTATAAATGTGCACTCTACTGAATATTTCAGTAATAATAAAATATATCTTCTCTCATGATTTCTTTATGAATATTAAATTGTAATACTGCTCAGCTTTATCATGAACCATTTGTTAATCTGGTGTTACGTAGGCTGTTTGTCTGGCTGCTTGCAAGAAATTGCATGAGATGGGAGCATTCACTGACATGCTATTGCCTGATAAAGGAAGTGGGGGAGAAAGAGAAAAGGATGAGCAAACTGATGAAGGAGATCCACTTCCAGGGACTGCTAGACATAGGGAGTTCTATCCTGAAGGTGTGGCTGACATACTGAAGGTTGGTTCTTTCTGCAAGTTATGCAGTCTAAGCAATCTTTTTGTAGAGTTTTGTATAGTTGAGCAGTACACATTTATCATTATTCATTTTTGAAGAAATTCTTAGAAAGTGCACTTTAAATCTAATTCAACCTTACACAGTCAATTCATATGGTGAGATTTTCATTCACTTATATGCTCTAATTTGGCCATGTCTCTAGTTGACGTATGATTTCCAACACAACTCCTCACACCGAGGATTGAACATCTCAAATATAGGACTAAATACTTGTAGGTGGTTTAGTAGCAAGTTATATGGTAAACCCAATAAATCTCGTTAGGATAGACTTTGATATCATCTTAGAAAGTGAACTTTAAACGTATCTCAACCATACAAAACCAACTTGTAACTGAGTTTTTGTGTTCATTTATATATTATAATTTGGCTGTATCTTTAGTTGATGTGAAATCTTCAATAAAAATCTTGTGTAATACCTTAATCCAGTGATATGATTTTGAGTATACTGAGGGTTGGTTCTTTCTGCAATTTATGTAGTCTAAGCAATCTTTTGTAAGGGTTTATTATATAGTTGACCAGTACACCATTTATCATTCTTCATTTGTAAAGGAAGCTTGTATGTTATACCTTTATTCTGGTGCTATGATCTTGAAGGCTTTGAAGATGGTTATTATTAATATAATGGAGATCAAGTGCAACCTAAATACTTTCTGTATTGTGGTCTAAACACACAGAAGTCATTATATATGCCTTGTTTTCTCTCTTCTCAACACTTCCCATTCAGGAAAAGAACAGGGATACCTTCTACAAAAGTGAATATTCACCAAATTTGTATCTGTCTAGCCACATGAATGCTATTTTGGTCTTTAGTTACAGGATAGGTTTGTTGTCTTGACCTCATTATTGCTTAATGCTATTTGAATTTTCAGGGAGAATGGATCTTATCTGGAAAAGATGCTTGCAACAATTCCAAATTGCTTCAACTTTACATGTATGCTGTGAAGTGTGAAAATATTGGCCATTCAAAGGATCCGTTCTTGATTCAAGTTTCAAATTTTGCAATACTTTTTGGCAATGAGCTGGATGCAGAGGTAGTAATTTGTATTTGTGCTACTGCTTCTAGTTCCATTTTTTGCATTTTAACTCATTTTCTCCCTTTCTAATCACCCTAATTTTGTAGGTGTTATCGATGTCAATGGATCTATTTATCGCTCGAACCGTGACTACAAAGGCATCTCTTGTCTTTATGGGGTTGATAAGTATCACTGAGAGTCAGGTTGAAAAATTAATCAGTGTACTTGTTTTAAATGTTCATATATTTTTTTAAAAAGTAGTTTCTTATGTCAGAAACCTATTTTTTCATGACATGCAGCTGGCATCCCTGAAAAGCTTTCATGTAAGATTGATGAGCATTGTCTTGGATGTGGATGTTGAACCATCTACCACACCTTGGGATCCTGCAAAAGCATATTTGTTTGTCCCAATGTTTGGCGATAAGTCTGTAGATCCTATGAACCAAATTGACTGGTGTCTGGTTGAGACAATAATTGGAGCTGATGCATGGAAGAATCCCCTCCAGAAAGCTCGACCAGATGTTTACCTTGGTACTAATGAGAGAACATTAGGTGGAGACAGAAGGGAATATGGATTTGGAAAATTGCGTCATGGCATGGCTTTTGGGCAAAAATCACATCCCACCTATGGAATCAGAGGAGCTGTGGCCCAGTTTGATGTGGTGAAAGCTTCAGGGTTGGTTCCTAGTAGAGATTCCATGCAAACACAAAAGCAAATTAATATTACTACCCACGGAAAATTGATGATGGCAGATACCTGTACTAATGCAGAGGATCTGGTAGGGAAAATTGTAACTGCTGCTCATTCGGGGAAGAGGTTTTATGTTGATTCTATACGCTATGACATGTCAGCAGAAAACTCTTTCCCTAGAAAAGAAGGTTATCTTGGTCCTCTGGAGTATAGCTCATATGCTGATTACTACAAGCAAAAGTATGATATATTACTAATATTGTTATCTCGTAGTTTTTTCCCCTTTGTTTAAAATATTTCTTTCCTGATGCAGTCAAGCCTCCCTATCCCTTTTTTTGAACTCTTTAGTTTCCGTGTGTTTTGAAACTTCTTACTAATAACTTGTTGGCCACATTGCACCTCTAATATTGTGCAGGAAGAACAAGGGGCAAATCTTAATCTGTGAAGGAATCTTCTGTTGTCACCTCTAAATAGTGAGGACGTTATCAACAATGTTCCATGGAAAGTGACAATAACTTCTTGTTCCTTCCAGATTAGAGAAGCTTTTTGTCTCTTCTTGCACAATTGAGGGTGCGAATGGCTACTGGTTCTTTTTATGTTTTGGGTGTAGATATGGAGTTGATTTGATTTACAAGCAGCAACCTCTAATAAGAGGGCGTGGTGTATCATANTTAACTCATTTTCTCCCTTTCTAATCACCCTAATTTTGTAGGTGTTATCGATGTCAATGGATCTATTTATCGCTCGAACCGTGACTACAAAGGCATCTCTTGTCTTTATGGGGTTGATAAGTATCACTGAGAGTCAGGTTGAAAAATTAATCAGTGTACTTGTTTTAAATGTTCATATATTTTTTTTAAAAATAGTTTCTTATGTCAGAAACCTATTTTTTCATGACATGCAGCTGGCATCCCTGAAAAGCTTTCATGTAAGATTGATGAGCATTGTCTTGGATGTGGATGTTGAACCATCTACCACACCTTGGGATCCTGCAAAAGCATATTTGTTTGTCCCAATGTTTGGCGATAAGTCTGTAGATCCTATGAACCAAATTGACTGGTGTCTGGTTGAGACAATAATTGGAGCTGATGCATGGAAGAATCCCCTCCAGAAAGCTCGACCAGATGTTTACCTTGGTACTAATGAGAGAACATTAGGTGGAGACAGAAGGGAATATGGATTTGGAAAATTGCGTCATGGCATGGCTTTTGGGCAAAAATCACATCCCACCTATGGAATCAGAGGAGCTGTGGCCCAGTTTGATGTGGTGAAAGCTTCAGGGTTGGTTCCTAGTAGAGATTCCATGCAAACACAAAAGCAAATTAATATTACTACCCACGGAAAATTGATGATGGCAGATACCTGTACTAATGCAGAGGATCTGGTAGGGAAAATTGTAACTGCTGCTCATTCGGGGAAGAGGTTTTATGTTGATTCTATACGCTATGACATGTCAGCAGAAAACTCTTTCCCTAGAAAAGAAGGTTATCTTGGTCCTCTGGAGTATAGCTCATATGCTGATTACTACAAGCAAAAGTATGATATATTACTAATATTGTTATCTCGTAGTTTTTTCCCCTTTGTTTAAAATATTTCTTTCCTGATGCAGTCAAGCCTCCCTATCCCTTTTTTTGAACTCTTTAGTTTCCGTGTGTTTTGAAACTTCTTACTAATAACTTGTTGGCCACATTGCACCTCTAATATTGTGCAGGAAGAACAAGGGGCAAATCTTAATCTGTGAAGGAATCTTCTGTTGTCACCTCTAAATAGTGAGGACGTTATCAACAATGTTCCATGGAAAGTGACAATAACTTCTTGTTCCTTCCAGATTAGAGAAGCTTTTTGTCTCTTCTTGCACAATTGAGGGTGCGAATGGCTACTGGTTCTTTTTATGTTTTGGGTGTAGATATGGAGTTGATTTGATTTACAAGCAGCAACCTCTAATAAGAGGGCGTGGTGTATCATACTGCAAGAATCTTCTGTCCCCTCGCTTTGAGCACTGTGAAGGTTTGTTCTCATAGTTTCTATCGTGGAATTATTGTGCGTTGTAAAATTTGTGGACTCATGTTTAATGGGAAATGTCAATTCATTGTATAGCACATGAAGGCGAATCTGAAGAGACACATGACAAAACTTATTATGTTTTCCTTCCTCCCGAGCTATGTCTTGTACACCCACTGCCTGGATCACTTGTTCGTGGTGCCCAGAGGTTGCCTTCAATAATGAGGAGGGTTGAAAGTATGCTACTTGCAGTTCAGCTGAAGAATATGATAAACTATCCTGTCCAAACTTCAAAGGTATCTTATCTGCTCGAGGTATTTGTGTTTCAGTTTTAGTTTCCTCACTTAACCCATGCCTTCTTTGTGAACAGATCTTGGAAGCCTTGACCGCTGCCTCTTGCCAGGAGACATTCTGCTATGAAAGGGCTGAGCTTCTCGGAGACGCTTACCTGAAATGGGTTGTTAGTCGATTTCTTTTCTTAAAATACCCTCAGAAACATGAAGGTCAACTTACTAGGATGAGACAACAAATGGTCAGTAACATGGTATTATATCAATATGCATTAAGTAGAGGGCTTCAATCATACATTCAGGCAGATCGCTTTGCTCCATCCAGATGGGCAGCTCCTGGGGTGCTGCCTGTCTTTGATGAAGATACCAAGGATGGGGAGTCCTCTTTGTTTGACCAGGAGCGATCCATTTCTAAAACTGAGAAGATGGATTGTCACACGGATGGATATGATGATGAGATGGAAGACGGCGAGCTTGAGAGTGATTCAAGTTCTTACAGAGTTCTGTCCAGTAAGACACTTGCAGATGTTGTGGAAGCACTGATTGGGGTATATTATGTAGAAGGTGGTAAAAATGCTGCCAATCACCTTATGAAATGGATTGGCATTCAAATAGAGTTTGATCCCGATACGATGGATTGTGCAAGAAAGCCATTTAATGTTCCAGATAGCATACTCAGGAGTGTTGACTTTGATGCTTTAGAGGGTGCTTTAAATCTAAAGTTTAAAGACAAGGGGCTGTTGATAGAATCCATAACGCATGCCTCCAGACCATCTTCAGGAGTATCCTGTTATCAGCGGTTGGAATTCGTTGGTGATGCTGTCTTGGATCATCTTATCACCAGACACTTGTTTTTCACTTACACAAATCTGCCACCAGGACGTCTCACTGACCTTCGGGCTGCTGCTGTAAATAATGAAAATTTTGCACGTGTTGCAGTTAAACACAACCTTCATGTACATCTCCGACATGGGTCCAGTGCCCTAGAGAAACAGGTCTTGTTTCGTTCTATTGATTTTTTATTACCTTGAGATGAATCATATGACCTATCTGTAATATTCCAAATTCTTTAAGCGAGCTGTTGATTTTGTTGGTTGCGTACAGATTAAAGAATTTGTGAAGGAAGTTCAAGATGAATTGTCAAAGCCAGGTTTTAACTCCTTTGGTCTGGGAGACTGCAAAGCTCCCAAGGTCCTTGGTGACATTGTCGAATCTATTGCGGGTGCCATTTTTCTTGACAGTGGAAGGGATACTACTGTTGTTTGGAAGGTTAGTTCCTAGCTTTTAAGCAGACCATTCCTTCCAGTGTTCATTCACAAAATGGAAGGAAAAAAGAGAAACTAATGGAGAATATTATGGGTTTCTCAATTTTGCCAGGTTTTTCAGCCTCTTCTGCATCCTATGGTTACCCCAGAGACTCTGCCAATGCATCCTGTGCGAGAGCTGCAGGAGCGATGCCAACAGCAAGCCGAAGGCTTAGAGTATAAAGCAAGCCGTATTGGCAATTTGGCCACTGTTGAAGTATTCATTGATGGGGTGCAAGTAGGAGCTGCTCAAAATCCACAGAAAAAAATGGCACAAAAGTTAGCTGCCAGAAATGCCCTTGCTGCTTTGAAAGAGAAGGAGGTGGGAAAAACTCAGGAAAAGAATGATGAAAGCGGGAAAAAGAATGGAAACCAGTCATTTACTAGGCAAACATTAAATGATATCTGCTTACGAAGAAATTGGCCTATGCCATTCTACAGGTATATGGCATTATGAAGTTACCTACTTAGTATTATAACTGAACATCTATAACTTTTTTAACACAAACTTGTAGGTGTGTGAATGAGGGTGGTCCAGCACATGCAAAGAGATTTACATTTGCGGTGCGAGTCAATACTACTGATCGGGGATGGACGGATGAATGTGTTGGAGAGCCAATGCCAAGCGTCAAGAAGGCCAAAGACTCAGCAGCCGTTCTTCTCTTAGAACTACTAAACAAATTATACGTGAAAAAGATGGAGTGATTTTTATTCCCATTCTATCTAGCCAAATATTTAAACCATTCTTGTGCATCAGGTATTGAAACCCAGCATTATCAACTGCTTCAAGCCATGTCTCAATCAATGGTTGAATAAATAAGAAACAAGGGATGTTACGATTTACTAATTTATTATATATGTTACCAATTATGTGATTCCTCTGATAAATTCACAAGAGGTAATAGCTTTTAGTTCACTTTTTCGTCTTTTTTTCCTTCAGGTATTTCATGAGATCTTAATTTAATGTTTACGAGCACTCATCTTGGCCAGTATTTTGTGACAGAGGATAGTCGTACATAAAACAAGTTGAGGACTAGAATTGGCTGTTAAGCATACTATTTTGTAGCTTGTATGTATTCTAGAAACAGCTCATGTAAATTATTGAATTACACAACGATATTGAACTTTTACTCGAGAATTTGAGTCTAAAATGAAGGTTACAATAGGACTTGAGTCAGCATTAATGAAATACACAGCCAAATTATGGCATGGAAACTGGTAAACATAGTTAAAACACTTCAATTTTGATTATTTTACAATACTTACATACATTAAGCACGGCTAATAAACCAAACATGTTGTTTATTATCCGGCCAAATACGAAAACTAAAAGGTATAGACAGGTTTTGATTAGGATATATTAAAATAACAGTATATTATGGCTTATTCCGATTGTTTATGGAGAACGTAGAGTAACATAATTGTCTATCGCCTCAAGGTGTGCAGAATATACTCTGCATAGAGATCCCTGCACCAAATTAGAGGCAAGGTTAGCAGCGTAAAACATGTACCAGAAGACTCCAGATTTGTAATGCTTTTATTTTTTTTCGCGACACCTTACTTTTTTGTTTCTACGCTTATTTCATGTAAAAAAAAGGGCATATTTTAATAGGTGTAGCAAAATGTGACGTAAAATAATGAGATTCTTGCACTTTAGAGCAGTATTAGTTGCATAAACATGTCCAAAATGACAACAAATGCATGGCAGGAGAGAATGATGTTAGCAGAGTGTTAGGATTTTGTTTAAATTCGATTGGATGCGTATACATTGAGTACTGGATGGCATCAACAGCAACGCTTGCAGGTAGAAAGTCATTAACTGCTACTTCCTTGTGCTCATTCTTTTTGTCTTAGCAATGTGTTAAGAAACAAATCTCAAATTGTGAAGGAAAGGTAAGAAATAAACTTAAAAGAATGTAATGAATTGGATACAGTCTTCAAAGAAGCGTCGGATCTCAGAGATGCGGTGAGGTGCAAGTTCTTTATAGTCGGTAAAGTGCTTATATTCTGGGTCATCAGCGCACACTGCAATAATTTTATCATCTTTCTCTCCCTGTGTCAAAAACACATTTGTCATTGTGTAATGTAAAATGGGGTAAAAGAAGTGGGAATGATTTTATTGGCTTAGAAAGCAATAGAGGTAGATATACCTGGTCAATCATGGGCATGATTCCAATGGCCCTGGCTCGCAGGAAACAACCAGGAAGTACAGGTTCCTGTCCGTCAGTAATTCATTCAGTAAGCTAACTATGTTAAAATGCCTATGTTTAGGATTTCTCCAGATGTAGTTAAGAAATTAAGTTCTTTTATCTCATCTTCCTCCCCTCTCAGACCTTTGCACTAATGACTACTGCAATATTGGAGTTAAAAAAATAGTTTTTTCTGCTTTCTTTCCCATCAATGTAATTCAAATGGGTCAACATTTTAGCAGAAGCTTTACCTGCATGAGGACCAAGACATCCATTGGGTCATTGTCTTCACACAGTGTGCGAGGGATAAAACCGTAGTTATGAGGATAAACAACAGATGAATACAGAATCCGATCAACCTGAGCATTATTAGGATAGTAAGAAGAACAATCTAAAGCATAGAGATAGATGGGTAGGGAAAAAAATCATCTGGCAGTGAGCTCTCTGTGAAATCTGTTTGTACCTTAATTAATCCAGTCTTTTTGTCAAGTTCATACTTGACCTTGCTTCCTTTAGTGATCTCCACAACCTGTGGGAGACATCTAATCATTCAGCAAGCAGCAAAACTATTTCACTAGAAAATTGCAAGTCAAGAATGGGATGCAAATCAGAAGACAAGAACTTACACAGTTGAAAATCTGAGGAGCCTCCGGTCCTGCATATTTTTGAAAAATTAGTTTTGAAACATGTTTTAAATCTCAGCTTTGACGTAAATTGAATGCACATTGAATACAAATTGGCAATGTATAATATCTGAGCTACAGTACCAATTTCAAGATCATGCCAAGGATGCGCAGCTACTGATCTCCTTGACAAAGAAGAAAGAATCCTTTCATTCAAACGGGGAACTGGACGATTTTCTTGACCTTCTTCGCCATTCTCAGCCATCTTTAAATCTATATGGGATGAAAAAAGTCACCCAAACACGGTGCATGCAAGAAGTTATACAAGGTTTGAGACAAAGAAAAGACGTACCTTGATGGAGTAAATAATGTTGATGGAATAAATTGTTAAGGGTTGATGTATTTATATGAAGATTTGAAGGGAAGTAGAAGACTTGGTCAAATTTATTAGACCATTCACTTCGGTTCTTCATGAAATTTAGCACTCCATCACTTTTTTCCTACAAATTTCAAACTTCCTTATGTCTGTATTAACCACTAGATTCTCCGAAAACTAAGTTAAACGAAACACAATTTTAGAACATCTTCACCTTTTTTCCCGTTTTGTTCTTTTCTAGTTTTGTATCCTCTTTACTAATTTGGCATCCCTTTCAATTTTGGTATATATTCTACAATATATTATAATAATTCATGTAAAAAGAATGCTGTAACATAGCATTGTAAAAGAAATGTGAATAGCATCATCTATTTTATCTTGATAAAAAGGATTTAACTTTGACATGTGTCAGTTGAAAATTTCTAGCTTTTTCGTAATGCTCTTATAATTTATCATTCAATTTTTAAAATTGATATAATGATTGATAATAAAAAGCTTTTTAATTGTTACCTGCTCCCCTCTCACTAAAATATTAGTTACATAAAGGAAATTCGGGATAAAGATGTTGATTATTCAAATTTTAAAGCTTGTTTTATATAGGAAAATATGTTGTATTATGACCAGATAAAATTATAATAAGTAGTTCTATACAAACATATAATTATATCTAGTTTACCCGTAAACCAAAATAATAAAAAATATGACTAAAGTGTTGGATCTATCGAGGAAGGTAGAGGTTACTCGTGGGTTAAACATCAATAGCATTTGGATCAATTATATAACAGATCAACACCACTATTTATCCAAAACCTTAAGGCAATAAGTTAATGAGTCTTTCACCTTTATATATTACTCTACTTTCTCATTTCTATCCAATGTGAAATTTGGACTCACACTTGGATTCCCAACCTAAATTACATTTTATCTTCTTCTTTTTTACCTCTTGATGTATATATGTTAAATTACTTTTCAGTTGTGTGTATTATTACTTTTAGTTCATTTTCTTAAATAGAAAAGAAGTCATTTCATGTGTACCAAGAATAAAATTATTATCTGGAGTAGTTTTATTAATGTAAGAATTAATTGAATAGTTTTGCATTAACAATAATCATTCAAGAATAACAGCTTCTATTTTGGATGTCAATAATATCACATCCTTAAGAAGAAAATGTCAATCAATTTACATTAATGTTTAACTTAAAAAATAGAAAATACATGATTAATATGTTAATCTAATGAGTTATCAAAAGTTTGTTTCTTTATTCGAAGCTGTCATCAATTCCATTAGTTAAATCCAGCTAAGATTGAGTTGTGAGTAAAGAATTTAGTCATCCAATGAATCAGAGTCCGGTATATGCAATAAATTGAAACATTCAGAATGCACAGAGATTTTCATCTGAATGGTTATAAGACTGTTAATAGCAGATGATTAAATTTATTAAGTTACAGCTACGGAATACACTTGCTTTTGTACCTTAGTGAAGTATGTCAGTAGCAGAATATTGGATGTACAGTGGCAGGGAAGTCACAGTTCACACATAAACACGTACAATTAAGGATCTTTATCTTCTTTTTTAGACTGGCAAAACTAAACTGAGTAGGACATAAAAAGGAGGAAAAATTCAAGGGACATTCATAGAATCAGGAGACATTGATATCATCTGAAGAAGGCTTGAATTTGAGAATGTCTCTTCCAGTGCAGGTCCTTTGCTAATTCCTCCATCAAGACTTTCTTTAGTCAAGTGTACTAACTCCCTCACAACATCAACCATTCCCAACCTTCCATCAACACCAAATAAGAGGCATCTTGTGGCAAGATCAGCAATGATCTGCATTTGCTCTTGCCGATACTGTGGTTGTTCATCATAGCAAAGAAAAGGGTCAAAAATTTCTTCAAATTTTCCAGCCCTTATATGCTGCAAGGCTGAACTTGGTAAATCCAAGCGATTTGAGCCTGAGATGATTTCAAGAAGCAACACACCCATGTCATAGACATCATTTTTGCAGATGCCAAAGCCTTCGTGGTTCTTGTGTAAGTGAGAACCATAGTAAAAATTGGAGTTGAGCAGACCAAATCCTGCAATCTTGACAGAATAATCATCATCAAGGAAGATGCATGCAGATTTAAGGTTATGGTGAAATATGGGAGGAGAGTTCTCGTAGTGTAGGAATGCAAGAATGCTAGCTGTTTCTGCAGCGATAGTCAATCTCCTGTACCAATCTAAACGTAGTTGTTGTCCTTTGCTTTGATGTAAATGTTCCTCCAGAGTACCATTGGAAGGAAACTCATAAACTACTAGAGTGTTGCCAGATTCAATACAGCAACCAAGAATGCGGGCCATGTTTCTATGCACAGTAGAGGACAGAACTTCGATCTGTGACAGAACTTGAATCAAGTCTTTCTTCTCACATTGTAATTTGTGGACAGCTATGTGAGATCCATCCCTCAAAACTCCAGCGAAAATTGTCCCATTATTGGCATGCATAAGTTTTTTAACCTCTTCAAAACCTTTAGTGGCTTCCTCTAGCTCGTGGAGGCTGAACAGTCGAGTTTTACAAGCTTTGGGGATTGAAATGTTTTGATAGTAAGCCTGCTCCGTGTCAAACATCCCCGGTTTTGCTGGCCTTTTAAGAAGATAAAATAGAGCAACCAGGGAGGCAACGATCAGAACTGGGCCAATGATTCCTGCATGTTGAGTTTAGAATGCTCTTAGATTGATTGACACAAGAAATATAAGTATATAATATAACTGACCACGACTACCAGATTACATATATAGCTTAAGGAAAACGGTGAAGAATTGAAAGCATCTGGTAGTCATGAATCCTTGTTGTGACCTCTGCACAATTTGTTGAATGTGTTGTATAGTAATTTTTGAGTTGGCACACTCGAGACTTTAGGAAATTAAGTTTTATATGAATATTACCGTTCTCTATTACGTACCGGCAATGATAACAAATTTCCTCTGATCTTGTCTTTTGATGTTGCAGTCACTTCCATATGCTTCCTTTCCGTCCTTTATGCAAGCTAACAGGAATACATCAACCATAAGCAAATGTCATACTTAAACGTATACAAGGTTAACAATCTATTTACGGAAGAAAAGGGATATTACTGGGACAATTTCTACCACACCCTTCCGTGCATCACACTTTCTTTCACAAATTATAACGCACAAACGACGTAATTGCAAATATGTAATGGCATTAAAACAAGTAATATATTTTAACCCGGTTATGATGAAAACTACTCACCCTGCAAACATCCAGTTCCATTAGCAAAACCATCACCGATATATCCATTTTGACAGGCACATCTCACTCCTCCTTCGATTGATGTAGCATTGATCATGTCAGCATTCCTTGCACAAACTTGGTCAGAGGAGTTTCTGGGCAGTGCCCATTCCAACTTGACCCCCCGTTTTCCCCAAGTTGAGCCTCGCAAAACGGCCCAACTAGAAACCCCCCTGCATCCAAACTGAGAAAACACCGAAAACCCATATCCAACATGCCATACGGTATGGTCGGAGAGTGGATAGCAGCAGGCAAGGGAGCCTCCACCCCTTCCATCACAACCGGGCAAGTCAATAGTTTCACAATCTGCTTTGCAGAGAGAGGAATCCTCACAGTCATAGAGACCAATAACATTGTCCACCGAAACTCCAAAGTTGTCCTTCCCTGCAAAGCTTCTGTCAAAAGAATTCAAGTCATTGTACTGTCTACAGGATGATGAGCCAGGAAAGTCCACCAGCAGGCCATCCGGGAAGAATTCCAAGACTTTGTAGCTCACCGAGCCAATTCTGAGGAAAAGGGTAGATGAATTCGTGCAGGAGAGATGGAAAGCGGTGGAAATCGACTGACAAGAAGAGTTGACATAGAATGGAAAAGGAAGACGGAGGTCCCCGCATGTTTGAGTGCAGGAGTTTGGAGGCAAAGAGGGTTGTAAGGAAGAAGAAAATGGGAAGCACAGAAGAAGTAGAAGAAAAGTGAGGAGAAGAATAGGTGACATTGTAAGGAAGAAAAGAAGTGAGTGGAGTGAAAGTGTAGTTGGTCTGTAATTTAATGAATATGAGTGTAGTGTGTGTATGTATGTATGTTGTAAAAGTGAATGATTGATGGAATGAGAGAGAGATGAAGATGAAGAAGAAGACGTGGCGAAATCAGGGAGGTAATGGGTAGTGTGAAGGAGGCATAGAAGTTGGAGAAGGAGGAGACGATTGGTCTGAGGAATGGGGCACACTTCGTATCAGAATAATACATTGGAGCTTGTGCTGAGCGAGCGTGGCCAAGCTTGTGAGCATTTCAATCTTGTTGAATTGCACAAAGCTTAATTACGTAGCATAGACTATTGTGATCTTGCATGGGAATCGAGATTTCTTGCACAAACTCACACCAATAATCAATATACTATATACATACACACACCCATGTATCTTATTTCCTACACCTATATGTATACATACGTTAATATATTTGATTTCATGATTTTAGTAAAAAAAATAATGAAAGTTATAAGTTCAGTTTTATTTTTTTGAAGGAGAAATTTAATGAAAGTAGTACTATATTAATTGAAGGGCTATACATATTAAAATATGTATGAATTGAAATTGAAAGCAGAGGTAACTGTTTTTGTCAAAGTAGCGATTGCTTATACGTGCGTTTGTGTGTGTGTGTGTGTGTATGATAAAATAAAATTTAGAAGAACATGGTTTAAGGATCACGGAATGTCAGTGAATTAGATCTGTGAACAATGAATGTATGGAAAGGAATATGGATGCGTACCTTACAAAAAGAGAAAAAGATAAATAATTAATGTTGTTGGGGACCCACATAAACCTTAACCTAACCTAAACTCATCACACTGTGTTAAATGTAATGCTAGGTAACTAGAATAAATAGTTAAGCATTGCTCTTTACGTACATAACTCAGATTACATTCTATTTTTTTTGGCTATACAGAATGAATTATAGTGACTCAAAACAGCACCTCGTGTTGGTTACATCCTTTTCACAACATGTAATTATTTTCAAACATCTAATTGTCAACACATAATTATGTTGTTTTGTTTTTTTTTCCACCGTATTAACCGGCACAAATCTTTCTATATGAAGCCGAAAAAAGTAGCAGTGATTAAGGTTCCCTTGGAGTGTTAGGTGAGAAGCAATGGGTTTCTTGTTCTTTCTTTTAGACGTGTAAATCGAGTGAAAATGATCCCGATTTTTTAACCAGGGTAAACAAAGAGTAAATAATAATAATAAGAATATATAGGTATAGTAATATATTCCGTACTAATATTTAATTTTCCGGTATAATAAACTTATATATTTTCATAATGTGATAAAATTTACGTAAATTAGAAATAAGATATTTGTATACTGTGATAAGATTTAGTTGGATGAAAAATAAGATTTATTTTATAAGATTGAGTTATGTTTAAAATTATTTTTCTATTGTGATATTATAATCATGTTATAAGATTGAATTAGATTTAAGATTTTTTTTTAACACAATTAAAATATTTTTATAAAATTTGTTATTTATTAAATTTATTTGATTATTATTAAAATATTAATAAATGTTTAACCTCACATTTGAAATATATATAAAGGATGTATCGAGGATAATTTACAAATATATATATAAATAAATGAATATTTCATTTTACGAAATAATTTAATAAGATTATATTAAACTTCAAATTCATATAAAGAAAAGAAAAACGGAAAGTTTGTATGGAGACGTTGGACCATAAGAACTCCAACATGATGAGGTGGAACGATTGAATTTCTTCTCACAATTAATTAAATCAATGGATAACATAGGATTCCAACTTGCTTTAGGGTGATGTCTTGGTGATAATAATTTCAAAACGTCATTAAATTTGCGTTAAATAAATTTGTGTCTATTTAATTCCAATCATTTTTTGAATGGATTATGTAACTTTTAAGTTTATTTCAATTTTATGTTGGAGTATTTGATCATATGATCATAGATATTTTGACTTTTCTAAAAATAAAAATAAAATAGCACAAAAAAAGTATTATTAAAATTTAAATTATATTAATAACTTTAATTTTAATTTTAAATTGAATAATTAATATGTACATTATAATAGAGATATATGTTTTAATAAAATATTTGTTAATATTTTTATTTTTTTAAATTGTTGTTTTATAGAACGAGTTTTACCTAAATTCATTTAGGATACGATGAAATAGACTGCATGAAAAATAATTTAATTTAATTGTTAATCTAATCTAACTTATTATTCAGGTTTTTTTTAAATCAGGTATCTTTTGGGAGTTCTAATAAGGAAACTTCTATAACAATTTTTCAGTGATAACTTTTTTTAATTTTAGTTTTATATCACTTTGAATATAATTATAAGCTTATATGATAACATTTCTCCTTAATCTACCTCTAGATTCATTTTCACAATATTTTTTCTCATTTACTCATCTTTGTGTTTTAATAAGCCTAGAACATACATATATTGCAAAATGAGAAACACACCTTTTTTGACCTAATCTTTCTAACTTTTGATGCCTAAGTCATCTGCACCGCTCGGTTGCACTCTTGACCATGAGGGAGGTACTTGCAAAAGACACTTCAATGCTCAAATTAGGCGTAGTTTAATGAATTGTTTATCACAATTGAGTATTTGAGTTTTGGTCGAACGTACCCGGCTTTTGGTCTTGACCTTATATTTATAAGTCATCTCACGGATTCTAAACTAGCACAGATCCAATAAAATAAAAACAAGATTTGATTAGTTACTCATAAACAGCTTATCAATATCTTTAATCAAATATCTTTGCTTATTTTATCGTCTGCTAGACTATTGCCAATAATAACTTAAACGTTGACCCAATTATGGCACAACATTGTTGATGTAGTGAGTGGACCGAACAGTCATGGGTGTTAATCGTTCGGTTTATACTATATACCATACATGAAGTATTTAAATTAATTCGTTTAGAGTAACACAAATTTATTAAAAAGACTTAAAAAATCATATTTGCATGTTACTAAAATGATATAAGTTTATGTTTGCTTGGTTTAGTAGTAAATATTTATATTATACTTATTGGACCATATTAAAGAAATATAATTTTTTTCACACAATGCCACCAGATATCGACAATATGAAGACTCAAGTATAAATATATTGAGAGCTGGTGTACCATGTATGTCTTATGACATCTCGACCATCTAGGTACTTGGTCCTTATGGTTTGAACATGCAGATATGACGGTTTGGTCAAATACATATCGACCATGATTGTTTCTATGAAAAATATTGATTAAGTTAAATAATTTAAGATCTATGATAAGCTCATAGATTAATCAAAGACTAATCAAGATAATCAGTTACACTGATGACATCTCGACTATCTAGATGTATTCGGTCCTTATGGTTTGAACATGCACTATAACGGTTTGGTCAACTACATATTGACCATGATTGTTTCTATGAAAAATGTTGATTAAATTTACTAATTTAAGATCATAATTAAGGTATGGTAAGCACATAGATTAATCAAATACTAATCAAGGTAATCAACTACACATATCAAGCTCATTCAGGTAAAAAGCCCATTAACATTGTATAAATAGTAGAGTGTGCATTTAAGTAAATTGATTACATTCCATTATTACAACATTTAATAACATCTTATGCATTTGGTTGACTTGAGAGTATCTTTTATAGATACAAGTTACAACCCTTATTTGGCTTGGAGAGGACGTCTTCTTGAACATGCAGAGGTCTAGAATGTAAAGTCAAACCTAAATGTATTTGGAGTTGAAGTCTTTACAAAATATATTTAGCTTTATAAGAATATATAACAATAAAAGTTGATTCTAAGGAGTTATCATAACATGAGAAATCATTGTGTATATTTAGTCATTTACCTATTTAAGCTATATATACTTGTATATATTTAAATTCTTATTAAAACACTTACATTACACTAAAATTAAATAAGATGATTTTATACTAGTTAAACATACATTTCTTTTATAATAATAAAATTATTATTACCATCATTATTATAATAATTATAAAATTAAAATATTTTTTTAAATTTACTGAAAATAGTTTTTATTTATATTTGGATAATTTTATAATTAAGAGAATGTTTAATTTTAAAAAATCGATTAAACAAAAAAAGTTAAAGTTTTAAAAAATTATTACTTAAATAATTATTTTAATTTTAAATAACTTATTTAACGTATAAAACTGGAAAACAAATCTAACCATTATAGAGGAATCCTGGAATAGATAATTACATAAACAACTGTGCACATTATAAAATCATGCATAAAATACATGATGTTGGTCCAAATAAAATTATTAAAAATTAAGCCCAAATTGATAGCCGAACTTAAATCTGGGCCAACTTCGAACATATTCAAATTAGGAATCGGTCCACAATAAAATATATTATACATACTAGTTAAAATTTACTTATATGATTATTAGTGTATTATCTCTAAATAAAAAAAAATTGCTCGGAAATTCAAAATATTCAAATTTAAATAGTAAAAATTCTTAATTGTCTTGTTTAAGTGCATTCTTATTATATTTAATAATGTGAATAAATCTAAAATATGAAGAGACAAATTTCATCAAATAATATTTCTGTGGAAAAGTATTAGTACAATAATTTAACCTTGATGGTTGTAGGTGTTATATTAAGCATAATAGTGATAGAGAAGGAAAAAGAAAAGAAAAACTTTTATCTTTAAATGTGATATTACTACTTAATTACTTATTTAGGATATAAAATAATGAATTAGCTATTTTATTTTGTAGTTCCTCACCGTTTTGAAGATGAACACATACCTTACTCCAACATAATGAAAACCAATGCCACCAAACTTTCCATTCTTTAACACTTCATCTCTCCTTCACAAAGGAAATTACTAATTACCAATTTCACTTCCCACCATACTTAACTCGCTAATAATAACTATAATAATCCATTATCTTAATATATTTTTTTC